AGGGACCAGTTTCATCCCATGCTCATTCATTCCCAGTCTAGTTGGAGTTGGTGAGCTCCCATTAGCTCAGGCACACTGTCTCAGAGGGTGAACCCCTCGTGGTCCTGACTTTCTTGATCATATTCTTAGTCCTTCCTCTCTCCAACTGGACCTTGGGAACTCAGTCCAGTGTTCTACAGTGGGTCTCTGTCTCTGTCTCCATCCATCACTGGACAAAGTTTCTATGGTGATATTTAAGATAGTCATCATTCTGACTATGGGACAAGGCCAGTTCAGACACCCTCTCCTCCACTACCCAGGGTTCTAGCTAGGGTCATCCCCATGGACTCCTCAAAACCCGTTCAGAGTCAATCCTCTTGCCAACCTCAAAATGGCTCCCTCAATTAAGATATCTCCTTCCTGCCCCAATACCCGTTTTTCCTCCATCTCAACCATCCCATTCCCCCAAGCTCTCCCTAATCCTCCCCTTTTCCCCTTATTCTCAGTCTCTCACTTTAATTCAACCCCTTCACCCACATGCTCCCAACTTTGACCTGGTGATCTTGTCTGCTTCCAATTTCCAGGTGGATCTATATATGTTTTTCTTTGGGATCACCTTATTATTTAGATTCTCAAGGATAGTGAACTATAGACTCAATGTCCTTTGTTTATCGCTAGAATCAACCAATGAGTGAATACATGCCATATTTATATTTTTGGGTCTGGGTTATCTCACTCAGGATAGTGTTTATCTATTTTTATCTATTTACGTGCAAAATTCAAGATGTAATTGCTTTTTACCACTGAGTAGTTCTCTGATGTGTAGATGTGTCACACTTCATCCATTCTTCTATCGAGGGGCATCTAGGTTGTTTCCAGGTACCGACTATTACAAAAAATGCTGCTATGAACATAGTTGAAAAAATGCTTTTGTAGTATGATTGGGCATTTCTTGGGTTTATTCCCAAGAGTAGTATTGCTGGATCCAGAGGGAGGTTGACTCCCAATTTTCTGAGAAACTGCTACACTGATTTCCAAAGTGGTTGCACAAGCTTGCATTCTCACCAGCAATGGATGAGTATTTCCCCTACAACACATCCTCTCCAGCATAGGTTATCATTGGTGTTTTTGATATTAGTTAGTCATTCTCTGAGGTATAAGATGATATCTCAGTGTTGTTTTGATTTCCATTTCCCTGATAGCTAAGGACAAAGAACATGTCCTTAAGTATCTTTTGACCATTTGAAATTCTTCTGTTGAGAATTCACTGTTCAGTTCAGTACCCAATTTTTAATTGGGTTATTAGGTATTTTAATGTCTAATTTCTTCAGTTCTTTATATATTTTGGAGATCAGACCTTTGTCTGATGTGGGGTTGGTGAAGATCTTCTCCCATTCAGTAGGTTTCCTTTTTGTTTTAATGACCATGTCCTTTGTTATATAGAAGCTTCTGAGTTTCAGGAGGTCCCATTTATTCATTGTTGTTCTTATTGTCTGTGCTACTGGGATTATACATAGGAAGTAGTTTCCTGTGCCCACGTATTGCAGGCAACTTAACACTTTCTCTTCTATCAGGTTTAGTGTGGGTGTATTTATATTGTGGTCTTTAATCCATTTGAACTTGAGTTTTGTGCATGGAGATAGATATGGATCTATTTTTATTCTTCTATCAGGGACTTCGATTTCATTCCATTGTTCAACATCTCTGTTTTTATGAGACTACCAAGTAGTTTTCATTATTGTAGCTCTGTAAGAGAGTTTGATGTCAGGGATGGGAATACCTCTAGAAATACCTTTATTGTATAGAATTGTTTCGGCTATCTTGGATTTTTTGTTCTTCCATATAAAGTTCATTATTGTTCTCTCAAGGTCTGTGAAGAATTTTGTTGGGATTTTTGATGTGGATTGCATTGAATCTATAGAGTGCCTTTGGTAGAATTGCCATTTTTACTATGTTGATCGTACCTACTTAAGAACATGGGAGATCCCTCAATTTTCAGGTATCCTCTTCGCTTTCTTTCTTCAAAGCCTTAAAGTTCTTGTCAAAGAGATCTTTCACTTTTTTGGTTGTTGTTACCCCACGATACTTTATGTGATTTGTTGCTATTGGGAAAGGTCATATTTCTCTGATTTCCCTCTCTGCTTTTTTATCCTTTGTGTATAGGAGGGCTATTGATTTTTTTCTGTTTGATAGCATTTACTTTTATTCAGGTATATTAATATTCAAAAGCATGAGGAAGACACTGAAGAATTACAACTCTCAAAGTTGCTATGAAGGAAAACTTGAAAATGATAGTAAAATGAATGTATAGGACAAATACCGCATGATTTCATCCATATCTACATATTAATGTTGCTGAAGAGAGAATAGTGGTCATGGGGCCTGAGAAGTTTAGGGAGACTGAGAAAGATTGAATTATAAGGGCAGTAGCATTTATAGCTCATTAGAATGATCATAGCTTATTACATATTTTGTAATGAACTAGAGGAATTAAATTGAAGAATTTAAACACATAGAAATGATAAATGTTTAAGGAGGTAAAATGGTAATTACTCATTGCATACATATATTAAATTATCACTACACATACCTTAAATGTGTACAACTATTTTTTGAAGTTAATCCTGTATCCTGTCACATCACTGAACATATTTTTCAGCTATAGAAGTACTCTGGTGAAGTTTTTGGGGTAACTTATGTACACTATTGTATCATCTGCAAATAATGAAAGTTTGACTTCTTCCTTTCTAATTCTAATCCTCTTGATCTCCTTATGTTGTCTTATTGTTATTGGTAGAGCATCAAGCATTATATTGAAAAGATATGGAAAGAGTGGACAGCCTTGTCTTATTACTGATTTCACTGGCATCGCTTTGAGTCTCTCTCCATTTAATTTGATGTTAGCTGTCAGCTTGCTGTATATTGTTTTTATTATATTTAGATATGATCCTTGTATCCCTGATCTCTCCAAGACCTTTATCATAAAGGGATGTTGAATTTTGTCAAATGATTTTTCAGCAACTCGAGAAATTATCATATGAATTTTTTCTTTCAGTTTATTTATATGATGGATTACTTTGATAGGTTTTCACATGTTGAACCAGCCTGGCATCTCTGAGATGAAGCCTACTTGATCAAAACAGTGTGTTTTTTTGTGTGTTTGATGTGTTCTTGGTTTTGGTTTGTCAGTGTTTTATTGAGAATTTTTGCATCTATGTCCATGAATGAGATTGGTCTGTAATTTTCTTTCTTGGTTGAGTATTTATGTGGTTTTGGTATCAGGGTAACTGTAGCTTCATAAAGACTTTAGCAATGACTCTTCTGCTTCTATTATGTGAAACATATTAAGGAGTATGGGTATTAGCCTTTCTTGGAAGTTCTGCTACAATTTTGCACTAAAACCATCTGGCTCTGGCCTTTTTTTTTTTTTTTTTGGTTTGGGAGTTTTGATGACAGCACCTATTTTCTCATGACTTATAGGTCTATTTAAATTGTTCACCTGGTCTTTATTTAATTTTGGTATATGGTATTTACCTAAAAAAATGTCCATTTCTTTTACATTTTCCAATTTTGTGGCATACAGGCTTTTGTAGTAAGACCTAATGATTCTCTAGATTTCTTTAATGTCTGTTGTTATGTCCCCCTTTTCATTTCTGATCTTATTAATTTGACTGTTCTCCCTTTGCCTTGTGATTAGTTGGATAGGGATTTTTCGATCTGGTAGATTTTCTCAAAGAACCAAATCTTTGTTTCATTGATTCTTCGGTTGTTTCCTGTATTTCTATTTTGTTGATTTCAGCACTCAATTTGAATCCAACTCAATCTTCTACTCCTCCTGGGTGAGTCTGCTTCTTTCTTTTTCTAGAGCTTTCAGGTGTGCTGTTAAGTTTCTAATGTGAGCTTTCTTTGTTTTCTTTATGTGGGCACTTAGTGCTATGAACTTTCCTCATAGCACTGCTTTCATAATGTCCCATAGGTTTGGGTATGTTGTGTCTTCATTTTCATTGAATTCAAGAAAACTTAATTTCTTTCTTTCTTTCTTCCTTTACCCAGGTGTGGTTCAGTAGTTGACTGTTCCGTTTCCATGAGTTTGTAGACTATCTGGGGGTGGAACTGTGGCTAAATTCTAACTTTACTCCACGGTGATCCGAGAAGATGCAGGTAGCTACTCCAATTTTTTTTTAACCTACGGATGTTTGCTTTGATACTGAGAATGTGATCAATTTTCTTTTTTTTTGACAATATTCACTTTATTTAACACAAAAATCTCTACACAAAAGAAAGACTATTTGTAGTGACCTCCAAGACTCCACACTTTAATTTGTAAACAGTGATGTCATGTAGGATATTGTAGTGTCTCAGACATCCTGCAGTCCTGGTATTGTGAGTTCACCCTGGGCCCTGTAGTCTGCCCATTTCCTTGAGTGTCAATCCATGAGTTCAGATGTTTCTCCTTCAAATCCCAATCTGGCTGAAGGTGCCTGGCTTCCTGGCAAGAGTGAAAGTCTAGGGAATGGTTCTGCTGGGGAATTCTATAAGGAGAGGTAGCCATGATGGAGGCAAAATAGGAAGGGGGTTCAAAGGGAATCTGATACTTCAAGGACAGTTTGGTAAGACAGGAAAAGCTAGGCATGGAGATCATAAAGGTGGGATAGTAGGAAGTATTCTTCAGAGGAGGGAAAGAGATAGGGCAGAAGACAGAAAGGGGATTGGCCTGCTGACAAGCCTGAATGCAGGCAGCCTGAGAAGGCAAAAGATGAATGCGATTAGGAGGATTAGATGGATGATGTCCCGGGGAAAGAGGTTTGGGCTGACATGAAAAAATGCTAGGAAGCTTTCTTCTCATCGCTCCGGATGCCCTTCAAGATGTTACTTCACCAATATCAGCAAGTGACTGAGCTGGCGCTTGATCAGCTCTGGCAGTTAGCTCACAAAGTCACAGCTTACCTCATTCTATGTCTGAATGCCCATTGTGAAGCAAGCACTCTTACTGAGGTTTGGCACTTCAGCCTTGCCTCCCAGCAAATATATGCAGGATCTAGCTGTGACCATGTGAGAAGATCACTGGTCAAAAATGAGGGTATATCATTGTCTCTGTTCTTGAGGTAACCTGGGTATTCTTTCTACTAGTAGAACACAGGTAGGTTTAAACAATGGGACTCTGGTACTGGGAAAATACATAGAAGCTGAGTTCATTTAATATCTTTCATCTATCACTTAGTGAAAAAGATATAATTTGAAAGTTGATTTTTCCCCATTTTAACAAAGAAGGAAAACACTTGACAATGTGAAAGGAACAAATCCATCCTTCAATGCTAAATACATACTTGTGTTTATATTTCAAATTTAGAATTCAAATAGCAAATAACTTGAACGTTTCTCCATCTTTCATTAGGTGAAGCTAACCTACTGACACACTAGGTAGCACTTGGTAGAAGTTGGACCAATATGCAGTATGTTTGCTTCTCTTCTTTATTTATTCCCTCAATATTTACCCCTATTGATGTCAAGTATGCCTTTTCTACTTTGTATTTTGAGTATTTTGTATCATCTACTTTTCTCCATTCTTACATTCCTAAGTTATGAACTGCACTTCCTTTTTTTTTTATTAAATTATAAAAGTTTCCATTTCAGCCCCTCCTCCCAACACCCTCCCACTACCCCCACTCCCTCTCCTCCTCCCTCTCCATCCCCTAGAGCAGTCAGGGTTTCCTGCCCTGTGGGAAGTTCAAGTTCCTCCCCCCTCCCTCCAGGTCCAGGAAAGGTGAGAGTCCAAACAGACTGGAGCGCCAAAATCCAGTATATGCAGAGGAAGCAAGTCCCAGTGTCATTGTCAATGGCTTTTCAAAAAGGCTCCGGGCCAGCCACATTCAGAGAATCTGGTTGGATCACGTCCTCGTTCAGTCCCAGTCCAACAGGCCTTGGTGAACTCTCATTATATCAGTTCCCTTGTATCAGTGGGTGCTCGCATCCCTCGTAGTCCTGATTACTTTTTTTATTTTCTTCATCTTTCTGTTCCTCATTTGGACCGTGGAGTGCTCAGTTCGGTGTTCCAATATGGGTCTCCATTTGTATCGCCATCCAACGTCGGATGAAGTTTTCCTCTGCCCTTGCCTTCTTTGCTCACGTTCTCTTTCCTTCTGCCTCTTATTTGGACCTAGGGAGCTAGGTCCAGTGTTCCAACGTGGTTCTCCGCCTCCATCTCCATCCATCGCCAGATGAGGGATCTATGATGACATGCAAAATATTCATCAGTATGGTTGTGGGCCAAGGCCGGTTCAGGCACCCTCTCCTCTGTCCAGAGAACCATCTGGGGATCTCTCCTTGGACCGGGGATTCCCTTTATAATCAAGTCTCTTGTAAACCCTAAAATGATTCCCTTAGTAGAGGTATATACTTGCCTGATCCCATATCCATCCTTCCTCCCTCCCCCCCATCCCAGTCCCCCGATCTTTCTCCAATCCTCCCCTACTCCCTACTCTCTAACCCTCTCCCTTTCCGACAACCCTCCCACCCCCCCATGCACCCGAGGTTACCTGGGACTCTTGTCTATTTCCTACCTCCTGGCGGATAGCTAAATAATCTTCATCAGGTTCATCTTCATATTTAGCTTCTCTAGGATCACGAATAATAGGCTCAAAGACCTTTAATTATGGTTAGAATCCACTTATGAGTGAATACATACCATGTTCCTCTTTTTGGGTCTGGCTTACCTCACTCAGTAAAGCGTTTTCTATTTCCATCCATTTGCATGCAAAATTCAAGATGTCATTGTTTTTTACCGCTGAGTAAAACTCTAATGTGTATATGTTCCACACCTTTTTTAACCATTCTTCTATTGAGGGGCACCTAGGCTGTTTCCAGGTTCTGGCTATTACAAATAGTGCTGCTATGAACATAGTAGAACAAATGCTTTTGTAGTATGTTAGGGAATCTCTAGGGTATAATCCCAAGAGTGAAATTGCTGGGTCCTGAGGGAAGTTGACTCCCAGTTTCCTGAGAAACCGCCACACTGATTTCCACAGTGGCTGCACAAGTTTGCATTCCCACCAACAATGGATGAGTGTTCCCCTCATTCCACATCCTCTCCAGCATAGGCTATCATTGGTGTTTTTGAGTTTAGCTATTCTGACAGGTGTAAGATGATATCTCAAAGTTGTTTTGATTTGCATTTCCCTGATCGCTAAGGAGGTTGAGCATGACCTTAAGTGCTTTTTAGCCCTTCGAAGTTCATCTGTTGTGAATTCTCTGTTCAGTTCAGTACCCCATTTTTTAATTGGGTTAATTAGAGTTTTAGTGTCTAGTTTCTTGAGTTCTTTGTATATTTTGGAGATCAGACCTTTATCTGTTGCAGGGTTTGTGAAGATCTTTTCCCAGTCAGAAGGTAGCCTTTTTGTCTTACTGACAGTGTCCTTTGCTTTACAGAAGCTTCTCAGTTTCAGTAGGTCCCATTTATTTATTGTTTCTCTTATTGTCTGCGCTCCTGGGGTTCTGCTTAGGAAGTGATCTCCTGTGCCTATATCTTGTAGACTACTTCCCACTTTCTCTTCTATCAGGTTCAAAGTGGTCGGATTAATGTTGATGTCTTTTATCCATTTGGACCTGAGTTTTGTGCATGGTGATAGATATGGATCTACTTTCATTCTTCTACAGGTTGACATCCAGTTATGCCAGCACCATTTGTTAAAGATGCTATCTTTCTTCCATTGTATAGCTTTAGCTCCCTTGTCAAAAATCAGGTGTTCACAAGTTTGTGGGTTAATACCCGGGTCTTCTATTCGATTCCATAGGTCGACTTCTCTGTTGTTATGCCAATACCAAGCTGTTTTCAATACTGTTGCTCTGTAATACAGTTTGAAGTCAGGGATGGTAATGCCTCCAGAGGTTCCTTTATTGTATAAGATTGTTTTGGCTATCCTGGGTTTTTTGTTTTGCCATATAAACTTGATTATTGTTCTCTCAAGGTCTGTAAAGAAGTTTGGTGGGATTTTGATGGGAATTGCATTGAATCTATAGATTGCTTTTGGTAGAATTGCCATTTTTACTATGTTGATTCTCCCTATCCAAGAGCAGGGAAGGTCTTTCCATTTTCTGGTATCCTCCTCAATGTCTTTCTTCAAAGACTTAAAGTTCTTGTCAAATAGGTCTTTCACTTCCTTGGTTAGAGTTACCCCAAGATATTTTATGCTATTTGTGGCTATCATGAAAGGTGATGTTTCTCTGATTTCCCTCTCTGCTTCTTTATCCTTTGTGTATAGGACGGCTACCAATTTTTTGAAGTTGATCTTGTATCCTGCCACATTACTAAAGGTGTTTATCAACTGTAGGAGTTCTTTGGTAGAGTTTTTGGGGTCGCTGATGTACACTATCATATCGTCTGCAAATAACGAAAGTTTAACTTCATCTTTTCCAATTTGAATCCCCTTGATCCCCTTATGTTGTCTTATTGCTATTGCTAGAACTTCAAGCACTATATTGAAGAGGAATGGTGAGAGTGGACAGCCTTGTTGTGTTCCTGATTTTAGTGGAAAGGCTTTGAGTTTCTCTCCATTCAATTTGATGTTAGCTGACGGTTTGCTGTATATTGCTTTTATTATATTTAGGTATGATCCTTGTATCCCCAGTCTCTCCAACACCTTTATCATAAATGGGTGTTGAATTTTGTCAAATGTTTTTTCAGCATCCAATGAAATGATCATATGGTTTTTTTCTTTCAGTTTATTTATATGATGGATTACATTGATAGATTTGCGTATGTTGAACCAGCCCTGCATCTCTGGAATGAAGCCGACTTGATGATAATGGATAATTTTTCTAATGTGTTCTTGGATTCGGTATGCCAGTATTTTATTGAGAATTTTCGCGTCGATGTTCATGAGTGATATTGGTCTGTAATTCTCTTTCCTGGTTGTGTCTTTGTGTGGTTTTGGTATCAGGGTAACTGTAGCTTCATAAAAAGAGTTTGGCAGTGATTCTTCTGTTTCTATATTGTGAAATACATTAAGGAGTATAGGTATTAGCTCTTCCTGGAAGTTCTGGTAGAATTCTGTATTGAAACCATCTGGTCCTGGGCTTTTTTTGGTAGGGAGATTTTTAATAACAGTTTCTAATTCTTCACAACTGACAGGTCTATTTAGATTGTTCACCTGTTCTTGGTTCAACTTTGGTATATGGTACTTATCTAAAAAAATGTCCATTTCTTTTACATTTTCCAACTTTGTGGCATATAAACTTTCATAGTAAGATCTAATGATTCTCTGAATTTCCTCTGTGTCTGTGGTTACATCCCCCTTTTCATTTCTGATCCTATTAATTTGCATGTGCTCTCTCTGCCGTTTGATTAGTTTGGATAGGGGTTTGTCAATCTTGTTGATTTTCTCCAAGAACCAGCTTTTTGATTCATTGATTCTTTGGATTGTTTTCTGTGTTTCTATTTTGTTGATTTCAGCCCTCAGTTTGATTATTTCCAGTCTTCTACTCCTCCTGGGTGAATCAGCTTCTTTTTTTTCGAGAGCTTTCAAGTGTGCTGTTAAGTCTCCAATGTGTGCTTTCTCCGTTTTCTTTAATTGGGCACTTAGTGCTATGAACTTTCCTCTTAGCACTGCTTTCATAGTGTCCCATAGGTTTGAGTATGTTGTGTCTTTATTTTCATTAAATTCAAGGAAGACTTTAATTTCTTTCTTTATTTCTTCCTTGACCCAGGGGTGATTCAGTAGTTGACTGTTCAACTTCCATGAATTTGTTGGCTTCCTGGGGGTAGCACTGTTCTTGAATTCTAACTTTAATCCATGGTGGTCTGACAAGACACAGGTGGTTACTAATATTTTTTTGTATCTGTGGAAATTTGCTTTGTTACCCAGTATGTGGCCAATTTTTGAGAAGGTTCCATGAGCTGCACAGAAGAAGGTATATTCTTTCCTATTTGGGTGGAATGTTATATAGATGTCTGTTAAGTCCATTTGATTCAATACCTCCAATAATTCTCTTAATTCTCTGTTAGGTTTCTGTCTGATTGACCTGTCCATTGGTGAGAGAGGAGTGTTGAAGTCTCCTACTATTAGTGTGTGTGGTTTGATGACTGCCTTGAGTTCTAGAAGAGTTTCTTTTACATAAGTAGGAGGCTTTATATTAGGGGCGTAGATATTCAGGATTGAGACTTCTTCCTGATGAGTTGTTCCTGTTATGAGTATAACATGTCCATCTCCATCTCTTCTGATTGATTTTAGTTTGAAGTCAATTTTGTTGGAGATGAGAATGGCCACGCCTGCTTCTTTCTTAGGTCCGTTTGCTTGAAAAACCTTTTCCCAACCCTCTACTCTGAGTAAATGTCTGTCTTTGTGGTTGAGGTGTGTTTCTTGTAAACAGCAGAATGTTGGATCCTGTTTTCGTATCCAGTCTCTTAGTCTGTGCCTTTTTATAGGTGAATTGAGTCCATTAATATTAAGTGATATTAATGACCAGTGGTTGTTGACTCCGGTTATTATTATTTTTTGTTTGTTTGGTTAATAGAGTTTGTATGTGTCCCTTCTTTGAGTTAAGCTCGTGAAGGGTCGCTAGATGTCTGAGTTATTGTAAGCAGTGCTGGCAATGTTGGACTCCTTTGGTTGCAATTTTCCTTCTATTACTTTCTGTAAGGCTGGGTTTGTGGCTGCGAATTGTTTAAATTTGTTCTTATCCTGGAATATTTTGTTTTCTCCATTGATAGTGAATGATAGCTTGGCTGGGTATATTAGTCTGGGCTTGCATCCATGGTCTCTTAGTTTCTCCAGTACCTCTATCCAGGACCTTCTGGCTTTCATGGTTTCCATAGAGAAGTCTGGTGTAAGTCTGATAGGTTTACCTTTATAAGTTACTTGCCCTTTTTCCTTTGCAGCTCTTAATATTCTTTCTTTAATCTGTATGTTTTGTGTTTTGATTATTATATGGCGAGGGGATGTTTTTTTTTTTATCAAGCCTATTCGGTGTTCTGTATGCTTCTTGAACCTTCATAGGAATATCATTCTTTAGATTGGGAAAGTTTTCTTCTATAATTTTGTTGAATATATTTTCTTGTCCTTTGATCTGCAGTTCTTCTCCTTCTTCAATCCCTATTATTCTTAGATTTGGTTTTTTTATTGTGTCCCAGATTTCTTGAATGTTTTGTGATGAGAATTTATTGGATTTGCTGTTTTCTTTGATCAGAGCATTTATTTTCTCTATGGTATCTTCAGACTCTGAGATTCGTTCTTCCATCTCTTGTATCCTATTGGTTATGCTTGATTCTGTAGTCTCTGTTCGTTTACCTAGATTTTCCATATCCAGCCGGTTTGTGTTTTCTTCATTGCCTCCATTTCAGTTTTCAATTCTTGGACTGTTTCCATTACCTGTTTGATTGTTTTTTCTTGGTTTCCCAATATATCATTCATGGATTTACTCATTTCTTCGATGTTTTTTTTATATTTTTCATCCATTTCTTTACTCATTTCTTCAATCTTTTTGTCATACTTCTCATCCAGTTCTTTAAGGGAGTTATTCATATCCTGTTTAAGGTACTCTATTGCTTTCATAATGGCATTTTTTCCCGCTTCTTCTAAATTTAGAGGTTCAAGTCCTTCTATTGTAGGGTCATTGGGTTCTGGTGTTTTCATGTTGTTTTTTAGATTGTTGGAGGAGTTCTTGCCTTGGTGTCTGCCCATCTCTTCCTTCAAATGCTTTCTACTGGATCTTCTAGTACCAGGTCAGGTTCCCTTGTTGGGCAGGGAATTCACTGACAGAAGGCCTACCTTTCCTCAGGCAGTCTATTGAAACACAGGCACTCCCTACTACCGGGTTGTATTCACAACCCAGGCCCAGCGAGCAAGGGATTTGCTCTGGGGAGATCTTGTGGCCCCAGAGGGAAGGGGGAAAGAGAGGAAGGTGTACCTGGATAAAGGCTGGGACGGGATTCGGGAGAGCTCCGCAGGGAGGAGTCGCCTCTGCCTGGTGACCAGATTGTCGAGGGGGGCGGGGAAAGGCTGAATTCCTCCTAGTGGAAGCCCTCTGGCCAAGAGAAAACTAACCCCTCCTCCAATGGACGTCTGCTAGAAGTTCACTCTCTCTTGCTGGCCAGGAATGTGATTGAGCTGAGACAGGGCTTGCCTGTCCTCAGGCAGGCTCTCAAAGCACCGGAGCTGCCCCTGCCGGACTGAGCCCACAGTCCAGGCCCAGCGTGCAAGGGAGCAGCTCTGGGGAGATCTTGTGTCTCCAGAGGGGAGTGGGGGGAGAGAGGAAGGTGTACCTGGATAAAGGCTGGGACTGGATTCAGGAGAGCTCCGCGAATGTGATCAATTTTCAAGAAGGATCCAAGAGATGCTGAAAAGAAGGTATATTCTTTCCTGTTTATGTGAAATGTCCTATAGATGTCTGTTAAGTCTATTTGATTCATTACATCTGTTCATTCTCTTATTACTCTGTTAAGTTTCTGTCTGGTTGACCTGTCCATTGGTAAGAAAGAAGTGTTGAAATATCATACTATTAGTGTGTGGGGTTTGATGTGTGATTTGAGTTCTAGTAATGTTTCTTTTACATATGTTGGTGTTTTTATATTAGGTGCATAGATATTCAGGATTTAGACTTCATCTTGACGAATTTTTCCTGTTATGAGTTTAAAGTGTCCTTCTCCATCTCTTCTGACTGATTTTAGTTTGAAATCAATATTGTTAGATATTAGGATAGTCACACCCACTTGTTTCTTAGGTCTATTTGCTTGGAAAACCATTTCCCAAACCTGTACTCTGAGGTAGTGTCTATCTTTGAATTTGAGGTGTGTTTCTTGTAAACAGCAGAATGTTGGATCCTGTCTTTGTATGGGACATGTTTTTCTTTCTTTTACAATTGCACAGTAAGATTTGACATAAACTCCCAGTAATACTATTAATATCTGAGTGAATGTGGGACTTTAAATGCAAGTGAAAACAGAGAAATCTTATAGTAGAGTAAAAATTCTTTCCGATGGTGGAACAAATTTGCCCTCTTTTATGGGAAAAAAAGAGAATCCTGTTGTATCCTGGGAGTAACAAGAGTAGAATTTAGGAGAGAGAAAGAAATGTTTTAATAAAGAGATATAAAGGATATTGAGAAAGATGAAAAGGTGTCTCAGAATTTAATGTCATGTGTGTTTTTTCCAAGGAGATGAGTTCACTATCCATTCCCCAAAACTTGTAGTTGACACTTTCCTATAACAATAGCTCCAATGAAAGGGTTGCGTTCTTCTTGCTTCCAAGAACACCTACATTCAGATATGCACATAATAATAATACACTCAAAAAGCACACATAGACCTAATTAAAATTAAATTATTTTTAAATTTATGAATCTTTTATTTGCCTATAATATAATACCAATAAAAATTAAATTTTAATTTTAAATTACCTTAATTTAAATATGATGCAATTTAACAATACATGCTTATATCATACATGATACAGTAAAGAACAATGTATAAAATATCTACATAATTATTTTCTATTGATTACATTATGTTAATAGAGACTTTTATAAAGTATATTTTTCATTTATTGTTTTTATGGAAAAATATAAAACTGAATATTCTATATATTATATTCAGTATACTGAATTCATAACTATACTATTTTTACTTTTTAAAACACAGAAGAAAAAATAAAAGATATCTATCTATATTTATCTGGATATACATAGACATATAGATAGATATCTTTCCTTGGTAAATTTTAGACTTTGACAAACTTAAATCATGATACCAAAATGCTTTAACAGTGGTTCCTAGAAGATGTGAGGTTAGTGTGATGACTACTTGATTTTGTCTGTCACGTGAGGTTGTTTTCTCTTTTTGCTGTCTTACTGTGATATTTGGGCATAGAAACACAGACCACCAACTTTCCTATAATGCTCATTGTTAGTTCTACATAATAAAACTCATTCTTTTCTTCTCCCTATTGTGAGTACAGATTGTATTAAAATATAATGTTTATCTTAAAATTTAATTTTGCAAAACACTGAAATGGAACACTGGTTTTGTTTTTTTCCTTCATTAAAAATATTTTTCCACATAATATCCCCTGGTTAGGGTTTCTGCCTTTATTTCTTTATTCTTTCATACTACTTTCCATAACCCCATTATGTTATCTACCCCTTTCTAACTCTCAATGAAAAACAGTTAATACCGGATAGAAATAAAAAAAAATAATATTCTAAGATTAAGAAAAGCTAACGCATTGTGTTAGGTCAAAATGAGGAAACATAAAGAAAGGATCTAAAAAGAATGGATGGGAATCAGACCAGTTGGATGGCACAATCAAGAATTCCATAAAAAATTAACCTGAGTGGGGTCTTGGTGGTGCACACCTTTAATCATACCACTTGGGGGGCAGAGACAGGTGAATCCCTGTGAGTTTGAGGCCAGCCTGGTCTACAAGAGCTAGTTCCAGTATAGAGCTAGGATGGTTACACAGGGAAACCCTGTCTCAAAAAAACAAAAAAAAATTTAACCTGAAACCTATGATATATATGCAAAGTATCTATATGTTAAAATGTGGGAATTGTTTTATATATGTACATTATATGTGTGTGTGTGTGTGTGTGTATTGCATAATAGATATGATATGACAAGCCAAACAATTAGAGAGAAGGGGGAAACTCTTACACAACATTATGAGACAAGGACATCTGAAAATGAGGCTAAGTGAATTATCTGTTCACATCTGCTTCTGGGCATGCAAATTCCCTATTGAGACTCTTTGGAGGAAAGGCAATTCTCATTAGTCAATGATTATAAATTGGATATTGCTTCAGAACTAGGGATAAAGCTTGTGTTTACTTCTACTTTCAGGTCTGGGACCCCAACTTGGAAATACACATGTAAGAACTGTGCCTGCTGTCTCGGGGTCTGTGATTTCTTTTGTGTTTCAATACTGTTTATATAGAAGGCCTTTGTTCTTTGGTGTCCTTCATCCACCTTGTATTTTATACTCTGTGCATAATCTTCCATACTATTTTCAGAGAAAGAACTCTTTTAAACTTATAGGGGAAATGAAAAAATCCCTTAAAAATGGAGGAAAATACAAACAAAAAAATCAATAAATCACACACACAAAAAAAAAACCAAGAAAACCAAGAAGAAAACAATCAGTAGAAACAAGCAACTCAAACAGTTCAAGACTTGAAGACTGAAATACAGGCAATAAAGAAAACACAAATAGAGGGATGTCTGGATATGGGAAATTTGGGTAAATGAACAGAAACAACAGAAGCAAGCATAACCAACAGAATACATGAGATGGAAGAGATAATCTCAGGTGTTGAAAATACTTTAGAGGAAATAAAATCAATGGTCAAAAAACCATTAAATCCAATAAATTCTCAAGACAAAGCATCCAGGAAATATGGGACACCATGAAAAGATCAAGCATAAGAATAATAGAAATAGAAGATTGAGAATGCCAGCTCAAAGGCACAGAAACTATATTAAACAAAATCATAGAAGAAACTTTCCCAACCTGAAGTAGGATATTCCTATTCAGGTACAAGAAACTTGCAGAACTCCAATTGACTCAACATAAAAAGTACCCTTGCCATGTAATAATCAAATCACAAAACATACCAAGCAAAGAAAGAATATTAAGAGCTGCAAAGGAAAAAAATCAAGTTATATATAAAGTCAGAGCTGAATTCTCTATGGAAAACATAAAGCCTGAAGGTCCTATAGTTTTATAGGCCACTTCATGCTGATGATGGGCACCGATAATCTTTTGAGAACTCAAAGAAAAATTATGATTATGTTCAAGTCCTTACTGGAGTATGCTGTGAGGCTGGATCATATCAACCAACAGTTGTGAAGTTGTTCTGGATGTTGAACTCAGAGGAAACTGCAACAAATGCACTCTGAAATGTTTGATTATCTGGTTCATCTGTTCCTACTGGAGATTTATTAAAGGGTCTTCCTCGATCAAACCATATTTTTCTTAATCCAAGAATGAATCCATGGCTGCTTAAACCTTAACTTTTTTATCGAACAATGAATCCACAGACTCTCATTTCCTATGGAAAGAAAAACAAAACCTCTTCTCCAAAGTAGCATATGTTTGGGCTTAAATTTTAAAGTAAGGCATTTTGATCAAACCTTATTTTTTTAATGCAGAATGAATACATGACCTTTCACTTTTTGGAAGTTAAAGCAAAACCTCTTCTCCAATGTAGCATATCATTTGACTTAAATTTAAAAGTCAAGGCATTTAAAAAATATATAGGTTGGATTAATCCAGCAGCAATTATAATAAAAATATTTTTTAGCAGGTGTTGCTTCTTTCTCAATTCAAAGACAACACATTAACATACTGATTCCAGATTCTCTGTGTATTTTCCATTATTACATAGAAGCTAAGTCAGACAAGATGGGAGCTGGGAGTGCTAGTTTTTCTCCTAAACCAAGAAGGCTAGGTTTGGGTTGCAATTCCTAGAAAAAGAGTTCCAGTCCTTGCTCCAGCATGGGATGGAGGCAAGAAAGCCTCAGGAAAACATTTTTTCATAAATTTGTGCCCCAAAAGTTGGGAGCTAAATGAAGCACAATTAATAGAATCTCAGGGTAATAATTTGGGGTTCAACCTGAAGACTAGAAAAGAAAAATATTCAGCCATGGGTTTCTTTCCTTGATCTCAGTCAGAAATGGTGATCCCACCTCCTGAAATCTCAGAATAAGAATTTGTGATGAGAGCTGTTTTCTCCCGTTTTATAATCTTCTCTAGGGATAGGATTAAAGATGTGTACCACCATGATTAAAGGCATATACCACCCGATTACTGTGGGACAATGGTCTGTATCCTGTCACATATATTTTAAATAAATGCTGATTGGCGTAGTAGGTCAGACTTCTTACTATATCTTATAACATATATTAACCCATTATACTTGTCTATGTTAAGCACATGACTTGGGACCATATTTGGCGAGGTATTATGCTTCTTCGGTGGCTGTGTCACAACTGCAGAATGCACTTCCTTCTTCCCAGAATTATCATTGCCCCACCTCTACTTCCTGTCTTGTTACCCTACATATACTTCTTGTCTGGCTACTGGTCAAATCAGCATTTATTTAAAATATAAGTGACAGGGTACAGACCATTGTCCCAAAGCACTTCCCTCCTTTAGAAAAAAACTCTGAATCTAATATACTTTGCTTAGCTTTTCTCCTGACTATTATCTACAACTTGTAACCAACATTCTAAACAAAGGACAATTCCTATAGTCCATTTTAGGGAAATGTGGATATAGTTTTCCAGTCTACTTCCTGCTGATTGGGGAAGCTGATAATTTTATGGAGATGTAAAGAAAATTTAGAATTATGATCAAGGTTTGACTGGAGTATCCTGTGAGGCTTGATCATCTCAGAGAGTAGTCTTACATCTGTTCTGTTGTAGAACTCAGACATCTGGGCCATCTGCTCCTACTGGAGACTTCTCAGGTGGTCTTCCTTGATCAAAACTGATTTTTCATAACTCAGAATAATCCACAGCCTCTCATTTCCTGTGGAAACATAAGTAGAACCTCTTCTCCAAAGTAACATGCCTTTTTACTTCAATTTTAAAGTCAAGGTATTTTCAAAATACCTATCTAGGAATAATTCAGCATTATTTATAAACAAATATCATTTGATAGCTGTTGCTCCTTCCTCAGCATTCATAGAATTTAAAGAGTATATAATAGCATACAGTATCGAGACTTTTTGTGCATTTCTCATCTTTACATGGCTTTATTTTAACCTTTTTTATTTTTATTTTTAATTTTTGGCTTTGAGACAGGGTTTCTCTGTGTATCTTTGTCCTGGAACTCATTCTCTAGACCAGGCTGTCTTTGAACTCACAGAGATCTGCCTACCTCTGCCTCCCAAGTCCTTGGATTAAAAGTGTGTGCTAACACACCATGAATTCATAGAGGTCTGTCTGCCTCTGACTCCCAAGTGCTGGAATTAATGGTGTGTGCCACCACACCCAACCACTCTCTTTCTTTCATTTTTTTTATTTTAAACACTTTAACCTTTTTTCCTTTTCTCCCATGTCTACATATATTTTTAAACACACTGTAAACTGTTTAGAGGCTTTTTCTTCTGAAACTATCTTTACTGTATCTCTCCTTTTCTAAACAATATATCTAGGATTAAAGCTGTGGTTTGATGGCTGAATCCTGCCCATTCCTTAGCTTTATATTCTGTTTCATGTTTGAGAACATTATACCAGGTACACCTCAAGAGTTGAAGTGTATCATAACCAAAACATGACATCAACATGCTCCATAAATGTTGTCATCATTTATTTTGACACAGGCAGTACTCTAGCTATGAGTTTTAGAATGTGAGAATTACTAGGTATGCAGAGAGTATGGGTAACCACCTCACAGGGGTCTCTCCCTAAAGTAAGTGCACACTTGACTCTAGATTTTAAACAATACTATGCTGTGATTTCTAATTTTAAAAACTTTCTGTAGATATTAAACTCCTTCAAATACTCAGATGAATACTTTGCAAAGCTAGAGTGGATAAAATTCAACTGTGAAATCTCAACTTCTAAGGGTAAGACAGTACTGCTCAGCCAAATTTTCAATGGAATGGCTAATGGTACAGAGTTCTGAAATGGCTCTTACAGATGACAGTATGCAAATACACTTATGCGTGTACTGTGACACATGCTCTTTGTGAGGTGCTTATTAATTCAGTAGAAAATGGAAAAGAACCACTTTCTAAGTTCTTTTTTAATGATCTCATGTATTTTATTAAGCTTCTATTTGGAAGCATTTTTATCTTTGTAGACAGTTAAGAAAAAGGAAACCATATGGACCTTCACAGCACTGTCTTTGTTCACTCACAAAATTTGTTGCAATTGTTTTTTCCTTTTTTAATGACTTTAAAAAATCCAACCCAAATTCCCATTCCTGACCCTCTTCCCAGTCCCCTCCCTCTCCCTCCACAGACCCTGTCCCACCCCTCCTACCCTAAGGGAATGCCATTCAGCCCTCCCTGTGGAAAGTCCAAGGCCTTCCCTACTACGTCTAGGTTGAGCAAGTTTTACATCCAAAGAAAACAGGATCCCATGAAACCAGTATATGCAAGTAGAGACACATCCCAGTGTCACTATCAGTGACCCCTCAGTCTGCCTTAGCTGTCAACTCCATTCAGAGGGACTTGGTTGTTCCCATGCTCATTCACTCTCAGTCCAGTTGGAGTTGGTGTACTACCATTAGCTCAAGCAAACTGTCTCTATGGATGACCCCTTCATGTTCTTGAATTCCTTGCTCATACTCTCACTCCCTCCACTGTTCAACTGAATTGGGATTTCAGTCCAGTGCTCCAATGTGGGTCAGAGCCTCTATTCCCCATCTGTTCTTGGATGAAGGTTCTATGGGAATATTTAAGATAATCATCAGTCTGCCTAAAGGGTAAGGTCAGTTCAGACACCCTCTCCTCTATTGCTTAGTGTCTCAGCTGGGTACATCTCTGTGGGTTCTTGGGCATTTTTCTAGAACCAAGTTTTTTGCTAACTCCAGACTCTTTCCTTGCTCTCATATCTGTCCTTCCTCCATCTTGACCATCCCATTCCCTCAAGTTTTCCACCCCTTCTCCCCCCTCTACTACCCACCTCCCTGTTTCCAAATTTTTGTCAGATTCCAATTTTAATATAGATCCAGGTGGGTCTATATGTCTTTCTTTGGGTTCACATTATTACTTAATTTCTCAAAGATCCTGAGCTATAGGCTTGTTTCCCATTGTTTATGACTAGTATCCACTTATGAGTGAGTACATGCCTTATTCATTTTGGGGGGGCTGGGTTGCCTCACTCAGGATGATGTTTTCTAATTCTGTCCATTTGCATGCAAAATTCAAGATGTCATTATTTTTT